GAAAACAATGGGTTTCATAAATTTTCCTCTTTAAATTGTTTGCATGACATTGATTTGTGTGTGTGTGTGACATGAGAATACCCTGTATAGCCTGTCAGTAATATAACTGTGTGAAGATCAGAGGAGAAGGCCTGACCTCAGTTGCTTCTCTCCGATCATGCGGATCCTAAGGACTGACCTCAGCTCAGCAGACTTGACCACAGTGACTTTTCCTGTTGAGTCTTCTCACCAGCACAATTAACTTCATTTGATGAAAGGTGTGGTCATATATCACAAGAGATAATAAGACTGAGGTAAGTCACTAACACTGTGTCCCTTACATGAACAAGTGGGGCACCTGCACCCTGTTCCCCAGGTGACCTCTGGGAGCTAACTTGCTGGTGTGTTATTCTGGCTGTGTCACTTCCTTCCTTGGTTTATTTCTTTTGACAAATACTTTTGGAGCAGAAATCTTGTGGAAGAAATGGTGCTGGGCTTGGGAGCCACCAGGACAACTATAGCATGCTCTGGCCTTGTGCCACTCACAGTCTGGAGGGGAAAGCATTGAAGTAAACGAATGACTGTATGCTCCCTGGGCTGCAGAAAGGACGGACAAAGGTATCTTAGCCTTGTCTCCCAAGCCAGGCCCCAGCTATCTCTGCTGTGAGCTGAAGCCCCATGCTGCTTTAGAGAAAGGTGATTGGCAGGAGCAATCTGCAGAGCAAGCCAAGCCTAGGGCTTTTCCTTCCTTCACATTGTGTCCCTCTCGCCTCTCTCTGTTGTTTGGACATCTCTTCTTTCCCTTTGCCTTTCTCCCAGTTCCCTACAGACCTCCACAGGACCTTTTCCAAGCACTCACTGTCTGAGAGCCACATGCCTTCGGGAACGCAGACTCAGATCTGGGAAACTTGCATCAAGTATTTTGCCTAACGCCATCGCCATCAGTATTTCTGGTCTCTCTGTCACTTCAGGAGTGAATTGGACATGTCTCAAGAGGTTTTCCTCTTCGAATGTGGTTGTTTGAGGATTCTGAGATCAGGAAAAATTCAGAGAGATTAGAGTAGGGGCCAGAGGCTAGGGAAGGGAGGCTTGTGGGCAAGGAGAGTATTGCCTTGTTCTCTGCCTCTGGTGAAGCTCCATGCAGATGCTCCTCGGGTCAACAGATGTACTGAAAATACTGTCTGGTGCCCTGGACCCAGGTTAGGAAGCAAGACTCTCCAAGAGAAGACTTCGATCAAAAGACCATTCTCATTTCCTTCCCAGTAACTCCATTATCTGCTCCTGCCTCTCCCGAAGAGACTTAAAAAGCACTGTCGTTTTCTGAATTGAGTTACTTCTGAGTCTGGGAGATATGTTACGTCATGCTCTTAATGCACTGGGAGGCAGCAAAACCAGATGGCTGTCTCCCTTTCTGGTTCTGCTCTTGGCTCAGAACAAGGTCTTTGCCCTTCTGCCTTTGTTTCCTTGCCTTTCTCTGTGGTTTTCGACATTTGCTTCCTCAGAAAGCTGTCCATCAGCCATTTACTTAATGGGCTCTTCTTGGGCAAAGCTCTCTGAGGTCTACTGTCAGATTGGGACAAACAGGAAGAAGATGTACTCAGTACTTTTCGGGGGGAACTTGTAATCCATGGAGGAAATACATGTAAATAAGGCTTTGTATCACTTTGAAAGTGATACAGTTCTTTTCAAAATCATGCCTCGGCACTGGAGAGATGGCTCAGTGATAAACAGCTCTTGTCTTTCTTGCAGAGAACCAGGGCTCTATTCCCAGCACCCACATAGTGGCCTACAACTGTCTGTAACTCCAGTTCCATGGGGTCTGATGCCTGCTTCTGACCTCCATGGGCACTGCATGTATGCGGTATGTAGACACACATGCAGGCAAAACACTCACATGCATAAAAAAATTCTTCAATTTTTAAGTTCTAAAGAGCCATGTCTGCTACATAAGATGCTTGCTTTCTCTCTTGAACTCATTGGAGTTCAGGTTGATCCTTTAAGAAAAGAGGACTTGAGACAACTCAGGAGATGTGGACAGATCTCTTCTTTGGACGTTTCAGTCCCAAGATTTTCAATCAGCAGAAAACATTCTGTGGGAGTGGAGCTGTGCCTGGCACTGTGCCTGGCTTTAGGACCAACAGTTGGATAGTGTGGTGATGTCAGCAGAGGAAATGTTTACTTCTGAACCTCTACACAGTTTACTGTCTTTTCTTAAGAATGTAACTACGGACTTGTCAAGAGCAACAGCATATTCATCCCTCTAAGGATCTATTCACCGTTTGGCCGCCTTGGGTAGTAGCGTCAGAAAATCTGTGGGTGAAGAGAAGAGGTGATGGACCACAGGGCGAATGATACGTCTAGAGGCAACATTTTTGAATAGTGATGGTTTGCATATAATATTTGAACCAAATTATAAAGATGGAACATTGGGCCTTGACATTCCCCCTTTCCAGTCAGGTCTAGAATAGTTTACAAAGTCCTTCTAGGCAAAGTGCTTAATTGAAGCCTCTAACCAAGGCCAAAGCACAGCCCAGAATACATCCTGTGAGTTCAAGTGGAGGACCAGTCAGTTCTGTTTGGGGATGCTTTGGGAAAGTCAAAGAAAGAGTTCATGCTTCACCTAAATCTTGAAAGGCAAACTATTCACACAGTGTATGAAGTTGTGAGAAAGTCTAGAAGAAAAAAGGATGGAGCTGTAGAAGGGCTGACTTGTGGGACTGGGAGTCTAATACAGAATGAGACGACTGGGCATGCGGTTATGAATCCTCAGGCTCAACATTAGGGAACACAGGCCTGCTAGTGGTAGCATATTGAGAGGAAGAAAGCTAAGGGAAAGCCCAGCCAGAGGACCCCACTGATTGGAAGGAGTCTCTGGGGGTCTTCACTGTTTCCTCCACCCACTAAAGGGGCTGTTTTGGGACAAGAGCCTGTACAGAAACAGAGAGATCATCAGAGAGTCTATTACAAAAGGAAGCTTGACCAAAGATGTGCTTGGGACTGTCAGAGCCCAACAGCAGTTCTGTATTTTACTTACTACCTTCCAGTGGCTCAGTCTTCTCCAGGTTCCTCCTTTCTAGTCCAAGACTCTAATTTTAGAAGAGACTTATTTTGACAATCATTTCTCTTTTATTAAGATACTTGTGGTCATCATACAAACACACACTGAAACTACACTCCCCAACGCATACACACAGAATAAATTATGAAATTTGTATTGAACAGTAGACGGAAGAAGATGCTGTCCTACCAGCAGGCCCAGGACGCGTCAGCAGACCCGAGAGTCTGTGATATATCTGTGAGATGTTTGGTGTCAAATGCCTTCTCTGAAACCCAAACTCCTTCACAAAATCTACATGCAGTGCAGATGCTGTACGGTAGTGTGGACAGCAGGTGACAAGTTAAGCAACAGTTCAAGTGTCCAACTTGTTGTTCCCTGCAGCCTTAGTGACTTTAAGGGGTTTAGTGGAGCTGATTTCTTACCAAGGCCCTGGCTGCCCTGGAACTTCAGGTGTGCCCTCGCAGTGAGAAGAGGGGGCAAAGAACTTGGTTTTGTCATTTAGGGACATCTTACCAGCTCACCCTGCCTTGGTTCAGCTGTCTTTCACTTAGATCTTGCCTGCTACTTCCAGAAGAATGAATAGAGAGATGTGTCCCTGGGGAAACCCAGCAACCTCAGTTTCAGAAACATATGCAAATCCTCCATTAGTGACTTTGCAGCAGTAGGGTGTTGGGGAAGCCACCTCATTTCTCTAAACCCTATGGTCCCTAGCTGTAGAGATAAGAGACAGCCTATTTCAAAGGGTTATCATTAAGAACTACTGAAATTTGGTATTGCCAAGTACCAAGCCAGACTCTGGTGAAATGTTTACAACCTGTTCCTGTTTTCTTTCTTCCTTCTTGTCTTTCTTTTCTCTTCTTTTCTTTCTTTCCTTCTTTCTTTCTTTCTTTTTTTTTTTTTTTTTTTTTTTGAGACAGGCTCTCTCTACATAGCCCTGGTTGTCTGGAACTCTCTATGTAGACCAGGTTGGTCTCAAACTCACAGAGCTCTGCCTGCTCTGTTCCTGAGTGCTGGAATGAAAGGTGTGCACCACCATGCCTGGTCCTTCATTTCTTCCTATTTCCCTATTTTCTTTCTAGGTTTATGGATCTTTGGTGGTCATGTAACCTCAACAGCCCTAAAACTACCTTTTGACCAGTTAATCTCCCAGCACAGACTACTGGTGCTATGTCTTCAAGTAGAACATTGTGCCGCTGAGGGAGGGAGGAAGGGGAAGAGGGAGAGGGGGAGGGAGAGGGTGAGGGAGAGGGAGAGGGAGAGGGAGAGGGAGAGGGAGAGGGAGAG